AGGTAGACGATGGCCTGGTGAGGGGTACCAGGGAGAAGCAGCTATGCAGTCTGGCCATAGATAGGAGAGAGCCATGAGCTACTGAGGAAGTTGTTATCATTTGCTGGGTTACAAAGGTCAGGACCATCTCATAAGCAATCAAATCACTCAGGCTAGGGCAGGGGCAGCTTAGGAACAGCACTGATGAGAATGGCACCTGCAGCAGGCAGGGTGATGCCCCAAAGTTGTGAGCAAGTACTGTTGAGAAGCTAAATATGTCATCATGCATGGCTGACTGGATTGGGCAGATGCGATTACCTGCAGCATCGTGAGATGGGAAGATTACCCTGGCTTATTGGGGTAAGCCAGTATCATGAAAGGCTCCTTATCAGAGGGAGGCAGGGGCACCAGAAGAAACGCCACACAGAAAGCAGAGATTAGCCATACAAGCCAGCGGGTATGGGTGGTCCGCGTGTTACAGAGGCAGGGAGACGATCTCCACCAGAGTTACTGAAGGAAGGAAACCTTGCAGACCCATTTCAGACTGCTGACCTTCTGAACTGTCAGATAACAAGCCTGTGCAGTTTCAGACCACTGAGCGCGTGGTAACTTGGCACAGCAGTGGTGAGGACCCTAATATTGCATCTTAGCTACATGGAATCTAGATAAGCCTCCACTGACAAACTATAAAAATATGGAAGGAGGTCATAAAGATTTTTTAACTTTTCTAATAAAAAGTTTTACTTTGTTTTGAGACACCAAACTGTTTCTTAAACACAGAAGTGTACCTTCCTTGATGGTGCCTAATTCTTTTTTTTTTTTTTTTTTTTTTTTTTTTTTTTTTTTTTTTGCCTGTTTTCCTAGCAGCCCAATATGGGCTGGTAAGACAGGAATGCCACGTAGGAAAGAAACTCAGAGCTGGCCCTTAAGCAAATGACAGGAATGTGGAGTATAGTGAGACCTGCCGTTCAGGACCAGATGAACTTCCATAAATGAGCAGTATAAGGTTTATGCTGCCGGGCGGGGAAAGACAGACAGCAGGTACTGATATCTTGTCTCACGGCTACTTCCACCGAATAGTGAGAACGCTATCCACAAGTCATCACCGCCACCCGAGTGAGCTGGGCATGGCTGGTTCTCAGACACTATCTGTGGCAAAGCCAGAGTGAGCAGCCTGTCTGGGGCAGGTTCCTCAAAGAGGGAGGCTTTGGGAGCAGGGCACAGACTTTCTGGTGAAATAACACAAACTTGGTGAGAGACCGAGAACAGCCTGACACAACCCAGGAAGCTGTGTCTGACTGTAGGGGCTTCAGTTACATACAGATGCAGACATGGGGACTGAGGCAATGAGGACTATGAGGGACGAGGTAAAAAGAATGTCTGAGGCAGGTGCAAATGCTGGCAAGGGTGGTGGTGGGAGGGATAGGTAGAAATACTTCCAGTATCAACTTCAACAAAAGGAAAAAAAAACAATATTTCAACTTTCAGATGCAATCAAGATGGACGTTGCACCGGTAATAGAGAGAAACTGTCTTGAAATCTGCTGTCAACACATTTATATATATTTATATTCTTGTTTATGTGTTACCCCAGATGGTGAAATAACTCATAAAATATGAAACAACTGACTTGGTCTCATACTAAAAGAGATTTAAAATGGGCAGGTAAATTTGCAGAAATGTGAGTATAAATAAAGTAGGCACACTTTCCTTAAAGTAATGTACACACGTTTTCTTGGTTGAATATATAGCTGTTTTTTCAAGGCTGAAGTGTGTGTGTGTGCGTGTATGTGTGTATATGTGTGTGTGCATATGTGTAAGTTTGCATGTAGCTGTGGTATCTCTCCTAAAACTTGAATATTAGGTTAGAAATATCAGCAGTGTAACCACTACTTTAGTGTCTTAGAACAGTCATCCAGCCAAGAAATGAAAACCACTTTGTTCTATTTTTATACTAAGAGGCTGAAGAACTTCGCTCACAGTGGCTGCCGTGAACAACATTATTATAATATTTACACACTGCAAGGAACACTAACAATCAAGGGTGTCAATACAGAATTAAGTTCAGCTCCCTCTTGGAAGCTGACACAACCTTCTGTCTTTCTGGTGGCACTGAAATTTTCAATTACAAGCATGCTTACTCATCTTAAAATGCAAGTGTCAAGCTAGAGTCGCACCGGATCGTGAGCACAGGCATCTTCAGTCACAAAGAGATGAAGGCAAAACACAGTTGCTCCATTCTTTCCCTCAGGCAGGGTTACACAAGCCCCTAACTCTAACCAAGAATGTCTCCTAAAATCATCAACTGTGCGGCCCATGACATAATGTTCTGTCTCGACATTGTGTTTTGCTTTGTTTTTTTCTTTTTCCCTCTCATCTAACTCTTTGGATGATTTTGGAGAATGATCGAAATATCATTCCCCCATTCCTCTACCATCTCCAATCCCTCCCATCTCTCCCTCCTTCCCTCCTTCCCTCCCTCCCTCCCCCCTCTCTCTGTCTCTCTTCTCTCTCTCTCTCTCTCTCTCTCTCTCTCTCTCTCTCTCTCACACACACACACACACACACACACATAACCATGGCCTCTTTTTCTTTATTACTGTTTTACACACACATAAACAAGTTCATAAAAATATAAATATAAATGCATAATAACATATTTTAGAGAATGTCTTCTTTTCCAACTAAACAACAAGATTCTGAGAAATGCCTTTAACTCTTTGGTGTCCCGTGATCTCTACATGTCCTTTGGCACACTCAGAGACTTAAAATATGAGTGGCTTCCCTTCTGATTAGAAGAAAGGAGCCAGCATGTGCAATGGGTCTGTGTGCTATGCAGTAATGTTTTGCTGTCATCTTCAGAGTTGACAAACGTTAAAGTTCAATCACGTTTTGAAGTCGTCTCGTTAGCCACAGGACCATGAAGGGCGCCCTGTGCTGACTGCCCAGTCTCACTCACCTGTCACTCATCTCCCCAACAGGGAACTTTGACTGTCCTTCCCTCACCAAGTGTTTCCAGCACATCTCTCTACAAACTGAGGGACACAAGCTTCATGTCAGCCTAAGAATTCAGTTCCCAACACTGATTCCCTGACTGTCAATGGAAAAGTTTCTTATTTCCCCCCTGGGTGTCTTTATCATTAACCCCAAACCAAGAGGGGAAATCCAGAGGAGATAGCTTCACTCTGCGAGCATTTCTGCAATGGCTGATGGATCTTAAAGAATCTTCAAGAATAAACTAGTAACATTAATGCATCCTTTGTTGGGCTGGAGGAACACAACTGGGGGACAGAGAATGACACTTTGCTGCCTCCAGCCTAAACTTACCTTGCTTTGCAAATGCTTTCACTGTACACCAACGCACAGATACCTAATGTCTTAGTCCTGGCTCAAGGACCCCGATCCGATCTGAGTGTAGCACAAGTCTGACTTGTAAGGTGCAATTCTCTCCACAGGCAACTTGGCTACACGGAAGTTCTATTTCAATCATTCTCCCTTCATCTTTGCAGCTCTTGGTTACCTGAAGACTATGGGGAGTAATGCCATCAAATGTAGGTGTGGCGTAACCAGCTGTGTCCTTAGGTAAACATCATGCCCTGGATGCAGACCAGGCTCCTTCTGCCCTCAGATACTTTACCCTCTGTTGGGCCACTCAATCTGTGGACCTGCAGTGATCCTATAGTCAGGGTGTGAAATGGGCACAGGCAGAGAGAGAAAGGCCTGTGAGATGCACTGGAATGTTTTGTTCCAAGCCATCTTCTCTAAGACTTTATGCCACTCCAAAGTAAGAAAGGTTTTCTCAGAAGTCAATCAACATTGTGAGGTCATACCTGCATGCTTGACGCGGGAAGTACCTTGAGATGCAAGCAAAAGAGAGATGTACCTATCTAGCATTTGTGCTGTGGCCTGACATGGTTTTGATGGGATAAACAGCAAAGGAGGGTGGTGGGGACCTGAGCACTAAGTGGGACCTACACACACGTCCTCTCCCCTCAGAGGCAGCAGGCCTCATAGCTGCACCACACAGAACTGAAGCTTCCTGATTACATGTTTCCCGGCCCCTCTCCCCTGGATTCTGGTTCCACAGGTCTCCAGAAGCCTAGCACTTCTGTGTTTTCTATCCAATACGCAGACTTGGCTAAAGCCTCTGGTCTAGATGCTTTCAGTACCCGTGGTTCAACCTTCCCATGATGTTTTTGCAGAAGCCACTAAAGTGTTTAGTATTTGTTCACTGTGAGGTGCCAGGACTTGTTCTCTCTCCTTCTCTCCCCTCTTTACTGTCATTTCCCCCCTATCTGTCGCTACGTTCACAATTACAAATACCAGACCTTTCACCAGAAATGGAAGCTGAAGACACCACAGCAGATGTCATGAGATGTGTAGCAACCACAAGGTTCATCTTGCATGGCCGGTTAAAATACAATAGAATGACATAAATGTTGAGTACAAAAGATTACCTGTATACAACCACAGGCTCTGGTGCCCAAGCACTCAGCTAAACAAGTCTATCCCAGATGCTCAGCACACCTTCTTGTTGGGATGATGGGATCTGGGGAATCCCTCTATCTTTTTTAACAACCCACTTAATCCATCACTGTCACCCAACAAGCAAAAATAGACCTGTGTACCATACCCCTTAAGTAGGCATATAAAAATGCTATCAGCTAATAAAAAGCAAGGAGGTGATAATTATGGGCAGAATGAGTTCTATGTACCTCATGTGCTCAACTTATCTAGTCCTCCAAAAATCCAAGGAGACCAGTACATACATTTACTACTACACAGATGAGGAAACTGAGGCACAGAATGGTCGAATGATTTGCCCGGTGGTTACAGAGATGGTAGGTGTCAGTGCCAGACTTCAAACCCATCTTCGGTGCACACTCTGAAACACTAAACCTCTGATTAGCTCCAATGGGTCATTTCCTAGCCCTACCCATAAATTCACTAATTGGTAAGGCAAATGTTTTCATTTCAATTAAATTTCCTAATTAAATCCCCTTGAAAAAATTTAATGCTGACCTTGGAAAACAGCTCAACCGGTGCAGCCACAGCACTCCAGTCTCTTAAGTACTGCTCCCAGGACCAGGTTTCCCCTGTAGTCGCAGAAGGCTCTAAAAGAGAAAATATAACACTTTTCTTGGAGCAATTCTAGGTGGAATAAAAATAGGAAAAAATGTAACTGAAGATAAACTCAAAAAGCAGGCTGCTTAAGTTGGCCATCAGAAGAGACACAATCAGTAAGGACATTGTCCTACATTTCCTGTATACAGTCGGGAACCTTTCCTCATCAATGGCTCTACACTGAGCCTTCTTTGTCCGGAGTCAAGCTCATGGATACACCTCAAATAGGTGCCTCATGTAACTTGCAGTTGGCATCACAAAGATGCCAGCAGAGACTTCAAAGTGATTTGGTCTAATTTCACGTCAATGGCTGGAAGCCTTTTAATCCTCCCCTTTCAATTCCATGCGGTCTTTTGGTGAGTGTCAGTTGGCACAAGCCTCAAAGGGCAATGTGACTAATGTGGCAATACTTGTCAACAGTCTTGATGTGCTTCTACTGTGGACAAGGCGATTCTTCCAGGAATTGGTCTTCATGACTCACAGTGGACTACCCAGGGGACAAAACACAGGATTTCTGATAGTAGTCCACAAATCAATGAAATACTGGAAATGAACCCTCAAGGAGCTAATTAGATGTTTTATATAGACATACCACTTACGGTATGCAAGGTAAGCATACAAGCAGTACACTAAAGAAGGGGAAAGAGTTTGGAAAACAAACTTATATTTTGGTAAATATGTGATAGGTTAAAAATGAGATGAAAACTATGGAAACATGTGAAGTCATCTTCAGGTACTAGGAGCATAAACAATTAACTTCCCAATATTCCCCCTGCTTTTCAAATTTTGTAGGTGATTATATTGATAGTTGATATAGAAACTCACCATTTTTAAATAATGAAAATGAGAAAAAAAGTCTTTAAAATTCACCTGTGCCTCAGCAAAGTCTCCTTCAGAATTAGTGAAGAAAGTAATTCTGAACTAATGAAAGTTGAAAGTAAAAGTGTACACCAACAGAAACTCAGGGACATGAAAGGGAAGTAACATGGAGAGAAGGTATATGAACACACAGAGATTGTCAAATCCTGTGTTTATTTAATGAAATGCCTTGATAATTAAATGTGTCATTAAGAAACTAAGTGGCATATAGGATCCTTCATGTCCACTTTTTGCCTTATGAGATATAAAGTGAACATGAAAAGGCAAATATAGTATGATTTTATTTATGAGTGGAGTCTAAAGGTAGTCAGCTTCTGAATCAGAGAGCATAAAGGTGATAACCAGAGCTGGGGAACAGGAGATGGAGACAGGAGACAGGCTTGTCAAAGGGCACTATTTCAGTTACACAGAAGGAGTGAGTTGTGGGGAGTTATCAAATAACATGGGAACTACATTTAATAAATTATATACATCAAAGCTGTAAGTGCTTGTCTTACAAGCATGTTGACCTGAGTTTAATTCCCTAAAAGTTCCTGTAGACCCACTGGCCAGGAGGCAGAGACAGGCAGATCCCTGAGGCTTGCTGGAGACCACATCTAGCCAAACAGTGTTCTCTGGGTTCAGTAAAAGTCCCTGTCTCAAACAAGAAGGTAGGGAGCTGTTGAGAAGACAACCAAGCTTGACCTCTAGCCTCCACACACAGATGGGTCCACTCACAGGAGCACACACAGATATATAAAAAAGTTATTTTGTACCCTAGTAATGTGATTCACAATTAAAAATAAAACAGAAAAATAAACACATAAGATGTATGTATGTGTATTACTGATGTAATCACATATTTGTAAAACACCTTCTATGTGCTAGGCATTCATTACACGTGTGTGTGTGTGTGTGTGTGTGTGTGTGTGTGTGTGTGTGTGTGTGTGTGTGCCAACAAATGTAAACATACATAGAAAAGAAATGGGAAAGAAGCAGCAAAATATTAATAGCAGTTGTATGTGGACAGTGGTATTAATGTAAATATTCACTCCCTATTGTATTTTATACAGTGAAAATACTTTATGAGGATTATCACACACACACACACACACACACTCACTCACACACACACACACACACACACACTCACACACACACACTCACACACACACACTCACACACACACACTCACACACACACACTCACACACACACACTCACACACACACACTCACACACACACACTCACACACACACACTCACACACACACACTCACACACACACACTCACACACACACACTCACACACACACACTCACACACACACACTCACACACACACACACACACACACACACACACACTCACACACACACACACACACACACTCTTGGGAATACTGACCTAAAAGGGCTGAGTAGTAAACAAATGTCCCAGAAGAAGGTGCAGACAGTAGAAGGCCAGAACTCTATCTGCTGTGGTGGTGAGTGACGGGGGTTAGGTTGAGGGGAGGCTCCTCCTCAGAGCCCTGCATCTGAAGTCTCCCAGGACAGTAAGACAACCTCATAGAACAGCCAACAACCACTGCAGCACACTGTGCAGTGATGATTCACACAGACTTTTAATATTTAAATTTAAATTCTTCATGAGCCTCCTACTTTACAAAAAGGAGCAACGTCTGAAGTGTGACCATATGCCTGATCCAGACGATGAAAAACCCATCATCTGTATTATTTTCCTTCGACACGCATGTATATCAGAGGCGACATCAGAGGGAAATCATTTAAATTTAGGCAACTTTACAAAAGCATGGAAGCTAACACCCTCTAGCAGTCATTGCATTAGCCTGTTGCTCCTAAGGAATGCACTTCTGGAGTATAAGAAAGCGGTTCAATCATCAAACAAAACTGACAGAGTTGTGACCATGGATTTCCTAGTTCTGAAATACCAAGCCACCCCATGAGCCCATCTAGGAGCCTCGGCTCCCTGGCCCACTGTGCTGCTAAAAGCTTAGTGGCTGCTTAGCTATCTCCCAACAGGAGTGTCTTCATTTGCTTCACAGAGAAGACGACATGGCCAACTCTGGTGATGTTCCAGTAACTCTATTCAAGTTCCCTGTTTCCACACAAGCATTTTACTGCCTTATAATTATGAGCTTTACAAAAAAATCACAGCAGCACCAACACTAAAGCAAATATGGGTATCTCATTCTCTTCAACAGCTGGGTTCTTAAAAAGACACTGTGTAATTTCTCAATTCAATCATATTTCTGATTGTTATACATTGTCATTTCGCCCAAAGTGATCCACATCTAAGACTTCCTACTATAATTACATAAGTATGCAGAGAACCTTTTAACAATCGTCATAAAAAGAATACATAAAATCAGACAATAGAAACTTCCAATGAGTTAAATATTTCAGTAGAGCAAGAGGATAACTCAGCAAGCAATATGGTGGCTGCGAGGGACACGGAATGCGTGCTGGCGGCCAGCACCACCGCCTGTGGGCAGGCCCTCTGCCAACACCTGCTCCCTTCTGTCTTCATCACATGGTTTCTCTAGTTCCCAGGAGACTTACATTGGCTGAAACTAAGCAGTGTGTTTATTTTGTAATTGTTTGAGGCAGGCAGGGTCTCACTATACAGTCCAGACAAGCCTGACCTTCGAATCCCCCTGCCTCTGCCTCTGCCTCTGCCTCTGCCTCTGCCTCTGCCTCTGCCTCTGCCTCTGCCTCTGCCTCTGCCTCTGCCTCTGCCTCTGCCTCTGCCTCTGCCTCTGCCTCTGCCTCTGCAGTATAGGAATTACAGAGATGCACCAGCTGAGCTGCCTACTTTGAGTTAGGACACAAGCCACTAAGAAGATGGCATGTCCTTGGCTTTGCTCTTGCCCATCTTGCAAGTGTTATCCTGCTTGGCCATAAATACTTGTCTGATGACTTAAAGGCAAAGGCAGGCCTAATACCTCTTGGGGGGTTAAAAGTGCATTCAAGAGCCTGGCCTAGTGGCACACACCTGTAACCTAGTGACTGGGAAATGGGGGGAAGAGAATTAGAGGGGTCCAAGGTCAATCCCACTGCAGAGCAAGTTCCAGGCCAGCCTGGGCTACAAGAGACTCTGTCTCATTTTATAAAATCAAGTAAGCATACAAATAATTCATGGATATATGTTTGAACAACTCATTTCTCTTAACCAGCTTGGAGAGAGAGAACCAATTATTACACACACTGCTCCAGTGTGTCTTATTTCTTTATGCAATTCTCCGAACCATTCTGTAAACACAGCATTTGTTTTGTAGAACATTAGAGAGACATGTAGATTTGCAAATAAGACATGTAGATTTGCAAATCCAGAATTCCATTTTTCATTCCACTCACTGGCTACAGTGAACTGTTATGGCTGTTAGCCTTCTGGTAAATATTGTTTGATGTAGCACACACACACACACACACACACACACACACACACAGAGAGAGAGAGAGGGGGGGGTTGGGAAGGAGGGAATGGCAGGTCCCGGCATGTTACTGAGGCTGGATTCCTGGGCTTAAGTGTTCCCAGGGACTATAGACTTCACAATGCTGAAGTCCACACTGAACACTAGATCAATAACTCAACTCTGCAGTTGTAAGAAACTGATGCTTAGACAAGCCATGCAGCTGGAAAGGTTTTGACATAAACGGTTCCTACCCTCCTCGCCCCCACGGTACAGGACTATCTCAGTTTACCATATACAGTCAAGATATCACAGAAATGCACACCTAATCATTAACATTTCAGCCCAACAACACTATAAAATTAAGTCTGCAGGCACATTCATAAACTCACTCGCTGGCAGTGGCTTTTTGAATTTAATTAAAAGTTTTGAAAGTCGAGTTTATACATATTTATAGCCACAAGGTGTTAATATTTGTTGATCTAGTCAACCCTAATCCAGTATTTTATTCTAAAAAATTTTAATAGAATAAATGCAGCCTTTACAATAGAACAAAACAGAGAAAATGAAAATATCCCAAAGTAAGTCTAAACAAGTATGGTTATGACAAGAACATAATTATCATTTTGCAAATATTCATTAAATATAGTTGAGCATAGTTCATTTGCATACTTCATTAGAAGTATGCTTGCTTACACAGG